GTCTCTCCGGGAGCAGAGCAGAGTCTGACCTCACTTCCTCTTCCGCCCAGAATTCTATTCTGTTTACTCCTCCCATCTATGTTCCAAGCTGAGGCCAAGCAGTTGGTTTATTATAACTTAACCAATGAAATCAACAGATTGATATATGACACTCCCACATCAGACACCCAGCACTTTGTCCCAGTTCCCGGCATTCCTGTTCTTAACTTGTAAGACCGGGACTGTCTGTCAAGGCCCATGTTCATGTGGGTTCAGATGGGTTTTTCTAGTGGTCCTAGAAGGAGCGGGGGTTGGGGATGGTGGGGAGAGGGAGACTTCCAACCAGTCAGCTAGTTCTGCTGTGGGCTCAGCTGCTGCATTCTGGTCACCTTGGTGTTGGTGAGGCCAGTGTTCATGAGTGAGCTTCCAAAATGGCCTCTAGGTGAAATCCATGCATGTCGACCCACTTCAGGCCTGCTCTATGAATTTGGTGTGTTTTAATGGTGTTTATAGAAACAAGCAATTGTCCAGGTTCTCACGATTGTGTGTGAGCCTAGAGCCAAGGAGTCCGTCCACCTGTGTCTCATCCTGCCGCCCACCCACACTTGAATCACTGTCACTGAATGGGGCTCTGCTGCTTGAAGTAGTTCATACCCCTGGTGTGTGTGTGGGGGAGCATGGTCCACAGGTTAATGACAACACTTGAGATGTGTTTGTGGCACTGTGTGGTGTGTTGGCAGTCTATATGAGACCAGGTGAGTCAGACAGTTAGGCTAGACCTGTGCCTTTGAACCAGTACCCCATTCCTTTTCTGGCTACTGATAGGCTTGACAGATGACAGATGTTTAGTCAGCTGAGTTTCCAGAGTCAGTGGAAACCTAGTGAGCATGGTTCCATTCCTCAGTCCTTAGAAACCTGCAGTACACATGGTGTCCGTGACATCGTAAGAATGACCTCATAGATAGTTGCTATAGCCACAGTGCTGGAGATACCTGCCCTCATGTTTCCAGAGAAAGAAGTCTACCAACCATTAGAGTTGGTGGGAAACTCCATGGGGGTCCTAAGGGTGACTTCCTGGCCTGACTGCCACAAGTGGGAATGCCAGGGTCTGGCTGTGGTTCCTGTGACCCATTCATTACACATTCGTTGCCCAACCTTTCCTTATGATTTCCGTGTTTGCAAAATCGGCTTATCCACCTCTGGCACTCCTTCCTTCCTAGGATGAGTCCAACATTAATTGTAAATGCTTGCAACCCTATACAGAACAGCAGCGTCCCAGTCAAGCTCTGGGCTAGAAAGCGGGCCCAGATGCCTGTGTGTTCGAGGTGTTTCCTACTTAGCCTTTTGCATGTGCTGTAACAAAGCCTACATGTAGCCTGACAGTTGCGAGCCTAGCTGTAAATGCAGTGGGACTGTAAGGGCATCCATCAGTCACTGTGCTGTTGTACAGTCTGCTTTAGGTTATTTTCAAGAGGTTCTAAAAGAAGCTGATGAATTTTCAAAGCCTCTGGTACCATGTTAGGCCAGGGGTTGTGTTTTATGGGTCCCCTTCCCTAGTAGGGATCTGGTGTAATGGAGATGGCATAGGCCCATTCATTACACCTGCTCTTGCCCAGGTGTATGGATCAGCTGCCTTTGCAAATTAGTAAGAAGGCAGCATGTCGCAGAGCAGAGACGAGGCCTGTAATTGGAAATCAGTTCTAAGGCAGAATGACTAGTTTAAATATGCCTTTTTGAACTGCTGCACCTGTGATCTACCACTGCCTATATCATGGCCCGATGGCTAGACTTAAGATGGCTGTGGTAGGTCCTTTATACCTACTGCTAGAACTGGCGGAGAAAGGCCATGGTGGGTCATTTATGCCTACTGCTACAAATGGCAGAAACTCACTAGGGGAGTCTTAACAGCTGCAAATCACTTCAGGTTAGGGGGCTGGTGAGAGAAAAAAGCCTCAGCCCGGTTTCGGCTGGCCCATTTCCAGTGAGTCCATCACACAGGCAGTTCAGCCTTGCCTTTGGAATTGGCAGCCAGGTCTCTTCTGCTCCTGAGATTGCTTGGAAACCATAAACTCCACCTTCCCAAACTTGGCTAAATTTTGACTTTCCTAGGTGCTTGCCCAAAACCAAGCCAGGGGTTGCTGTTGAAGTTATTTTGTGTTTGCCGCCCTCTAGTGGTAATTTTCTTAATCTCAAGCTGTATTCTGCTGGTGGATGGGAAGTTTTATATTGCCTCCAAATAAAATGGTTGTTTCTGAGTAAGGGGGTTTCTCTAAGGCTAGTGGGTACATCCACCTTCAAGCATGAACCGGGTTTCATCTATTAAATGGTCATTGTGGAACACAGAGAACAAAGTGTGGTGCTGGGCGTGGTGGCACACACCTTTAATCCCAGCAGTAGGGAGGCAGGCAGGTAGGTGGGTTTCTGAGTCCCAGCCTAGTCAGGGCTGAATAGTGAAACCTTGTCTCCAAAACAAAACAAAAGCACATAGCATAAGACATGAAACATTGCCTTATGGCATTTGGTATGTTATTTTTAGCCTTTGAAACTTCTACTCAGAACTAAAATAAAAAATTATTTCATGGTTTCCCCAACTGCTTTGTCAGGAACACTGAAGTCCGCATGCCTGAATTATGTGCTTCGTCTGACTTACCCAAATATTTTTGTTTCTACTTTAAGATAAAAATGATGATGGAGGAAAAGCAAAGCCCCCCCCGTCCTCGAGAGAGTGTAGTTACTGTGGCAAGTTTTTCCGTTCAAACTATTACCTCAATATTCATCTCAGAACGCATACAGGTAAAGGACTTGTTTCTTAACGCATGTGTTAGCTAAGGCGATTATGTGCTGTTCAGATTATGTGGTTCAGATGGTTTAACTGTGCGCTGTTTGCCACTGTTGCTGTGTCCTTTAACAGGGCAGCAAACTTGACAGCGGCTCCTGTTCTTATGGTTTATGGCTGCCATATTCTCTCATCTTAAGGCAAACATGCAATAATTTTAATGTCACACTCTTTCTTAATCTGCTTTATAATTTTGGAATGAAGCAAGGGTGTATTTGTTGCTGTTTGGATGTAGGTGCAGCTATAGTGTGGGCTAGGAAGTTAGCCTGCCTCGAGCCTTGGGAGTATTGGTTAGTTCTCTGCTCATGGGCTAGTAAGTTGTGAGCTTGCCTCGAGCCTTGGGAGCACTGGTTAATTCTTAGTGCTCCCATTTCTGTAGCTGGAAAAGTGCACAGACTCTGCCACCAGGCAGCGGCGAAGGTCGGGTCATTTAAAGCATGCAGTAAGTTTTTTCGGGGAAAGGCAGGTTTAAGTAAGTGTGCAGCGCACTGGGGTGCTGAGATGGCCTAGATAAGAAGATTGGCAGATAGCTTGTCTAGCTTGCAGAGCTGTTTTTGGTGCCTTTCCTAAACGTCATGCATGATACAGTGGAATATCTCGTTGTAGGTGAGAAGCCGTACAAATGTGAGTTCTGTGAGTATGCCGCAGCCCAGAAGACTTCTCTGAGGTACCACCTGGAGAGACATCACAAGGACAAGCAGCTGGTGGATGGTGCGGCCGAGGCTAAAAATGAAGGCCGGAGCCAAGAGACACAGGAAGCATTACGAACCGCTGACAATGCGCACACCAAAAATTTGAAACGATTTCTTGATGGTGCCAAAGATGTTAAGGGCAGCCTGCCTGCCAAGCAGCTTAAGGAGACGCCTTCTGTCTTCCAGAGTGTTCTCTCACCAGCACACAAGGATACTCAGGATTTCCATAAAAATGCAGCTGACGACGGCGAGAAAGTGCGAAGGAGTCCTGCCCCTGCTTATCTGGACGTGCCGAAAAGGAGAGCAGCTGGCGAACCTCAGGCCAGTGGCCCTGCCTGTAAACTCGAAGCGGGTGGGCCCCTGGCCTGGGAAGCTGGCCGTAGGGAGAAGATGGAGTGGGAGGCCGAAGGCAGGTACAAGCCCGGTGCTGACTGCCAGGACAGGCCTTTGAATCTGTCCCTTGGGGCACTCCACCCCTCTCCTGCTATCTCTCTGAGCAAGTGTCTCATTCCCAGCACCGCCTGCCCCTTTTGTACCTTTAAGACCTTTTATCCGGAAGTTCTGTTGATGCACCAGAGACTGGAGCACAGGTATTACCCTGACACCCACAAGAACTGCAGTAGCAAGTCAGTGCTGAGGAGCCGGAGGACAGGCTGTCCTCCTGCCCTGCTGGGCAAAGATGTGCCTCCCTTATCTGGCCTGCACAAGCCCAAGGTCAAGCCTGCCTTCTCATCACAGGCCAAGTCCCTGCACCCAGAAAAGGTCCGGCAGGGCACTTCGGGACCAAGCAAAGCTCCCCAGACATCAGGGCCAGACAACAGCACTTTAGCCCCAAGTAACCTGAAGTCACACAGGCCACAGCCTACTGGGGGCCTCGGGGCCACCAGGCAGCAGCAGTCAGAGCTGTTTCCCAAAGGTGGCATCTCTGCTGCTATGGATAAGGTGAAAAGACCCGAGCCGAAGCTCAAGGCCCTGCCAGCTGCCTCATCTCAGACCCCACTCAGCAGTAGTAATGGCAACGGTTCCATGGAGTATCCCATGAAGGTTGATAGCTCATGGGTGCCTCAAGGGAGAGACTACTACTGCCATCGGAATGCAGGCAGTGCCACAGCAGAGTTCAGTGAGCCACTTCCCAAAAGGCTCAAATCAGGTGTGGTGGCCCTGGATACAGAACATCCTGGGCCCAACGGGAGAAGGGGCTTTGAGCTGCGCAAGTACCCTGTGGTCAGGAACATCACCTCGCTGTTACCAGAACCTGTGTGTCCATCGTCTGTCCTGTCCCCCAAAGCCTGTTTCCTGAGCCACGGAGAGGTGGAGTCGCCCAGTGTGTTGACCATGCAGAAGCCCTACAGCGCCTCTGGACCTCTGTATACCTGTGGGCCTGTGGGACACACAGGCACCAGCCCAGCCCTCGAAGGTACTACCATAGGCACTGAGTTGGTGCTGAGTTTAGGGGCTCAGGTGCAAGCAAGCATTCCTCTATACCCACCCAGCATGCAGCAGTTAATTATGGGCCTTTCAGAGCTTAACTTTGCAGGAGTGTCTTGAGTTTCTTTTAAGGAAATGATGTAGAATAAAACAATAAAAACAAACTAAAAGTGGTTCCTTTCCTTGCTGTTGAAGCCCAGGTACTAGCTAGCTGGGCATGGTGGTGCACATCTGTCATCCCAGCATTGGATGATCGAGGCATTTGATTTAAAGCCTGGCTATATAGACCGTTCCCAAGAAAAAACTAAACATGACTGCCACTGCGAGAGACCCTGCTTAGGTCCTTTGTCACAACCCTCTTCTTTCCACAAGTCATGGCCAACACTGCACCCACTGGGGTGGGGTTTGGGGTTCTTCTGTGGTGTTGTGCTAGAGACTGACACCGGTACACTTACTGTCTGTCTGTTGAGGGTGTCTTGTATGTAATGGTCATCTTGTGTATGTCCTCGGAGTTCCCATGGGGAACTGCTTTCTTGCTGTGTTTTATGGAGCTTTCTGGTGCTTTCCAGTGCTTGGAGGAAGGTAGACCACCTGTCTCTATTGCAGACCTGTCTAAATTGTGGTGTTGTGGGTTTGTGCTGCTCCAAAGAGACAGCCACAGTCAAACTTTTTAGGATTGGAGTGATATCAGGGCAGAGTGTTGGCCCGGGAGGAGAGACGGTTTAATTTTGATTTGTATGGAAAGCCCTGAGAACCACTCTCAGTGCAGTGCATTCCGGGCACTTGCTGCTGCAGACACGAGTGTTTCATCGATGGCAGTGGATCGTGTCAACGCTGTGCTGAAGTGGTAATGTGTGGCTTTTGTGGGTGTAGGCTATCTGACCCAGGGCCTTTTGTGTGCTTTTGGCAAACATACCAACTGACCTACATCCCTACCCCTGAAGCAGTCGTTTTTCTACATGTGGATTTAGGTGTCCAGTATTTCATGATCTTTCAATAGAAGTGCTTAACCTCTTTCCTGTTTTGCAGAGTTTTGATTTATGATATGTGTAGACTTAAGTGTCTTGTTTTTGCTTACTTGTGTGTAATGTATGTAGACGCTTGAGTTGGTTCTCTTCCACTACATTCAGGTCTCCAGTCTTCTGTGGCAAGTGCCTTAACTGAACCAACTTGTTGGTGTCCAGTTTAAGTATGTGTGCTTGATTGCTTGCCTGCCTGCCTGCCTGCCTGCCTGCCTGTTTTTCGAGACAGGCTCTCGCTATGCAGCCCTAGCTGCCCTGGAACTCACTGTGTAGACCAGGCTAGACGCAGTCTTCTAGACAGCCCCCCTGCTCTACCTCTAAGTGCTGGGACTAAGGGTGAATGCCACCAGGCCTGGCATTTCTTTTTAAGAGAAGGTGTGCTTTTGAACTCACTTTGTAAGCTAGGCTGTCTGCCTTTCTCTGCCTCAGCCTCTGGGATTAAAGGCGTGCACCACCGTTGCCCCTTCTTAGTCTCTTGTGAGTGTTAGTGTAGAAACATGATCGGACACCTGCTTCATAGAGACCTGCACCTCCTGTCGTGTTGCTGACCTCATCCTTTCTCTTCAATTAGGAAAGAGGCCTGTGTCATATCAGCACCTGTCCAATAGCATGCTTCAGAAAAGAGGCTATGAGAACTGTATTGGAAGTACACATTACCGACCAAATGACAAAAAAACTTGATTTCCGATTTTTTGGGAAAAAGGTGAGTGTTACCTATCTTTATTGTATTGGTTAGTTTTCTTCTTAAAAATTAGTGATTATTATTTTTAAATGATGTATGTTGATTGTGTGCCGGGGGTGTGAGTAGAGCATCTTTGTTTTCTCTTCCCATACATGAGATACTCAGATCGGCAGGCTCAGCACCCAGTGCCTGTACCAGATGAGCCATCTAAATGGCCCCAGCTCTTTTTTTTTTTTGGTTTTTCGAGACAGGGTTTCTCTGTGGTTTTGGAGCCTGTCCTGGAACTAGCTCTTGTAGACCATGCTGGTCTAGAACTCATAGAGATCTGCCTGCCTCTGCCTCCCGAGTGCTGGGATTAAAGGCTTGCGCCACCACCGCCCGGCCCCAGTTCTGTTTTTTAAAACTATTTTAAAGTTTACAATACTCAGGGACCGAGAGTAGAGTGTATTGCCGTAGTTAAATAGTCATGATAGCCCATGAAGTAGTTGAATATTTCCATGTAGTGAGTATCTGATGAATTGTACTGGAAGCCTCTCTGCAGCCAGGCGGTTAGGTTAGGGCTCCACAGGCCACACCCCAACTCCTGCTGCTAGGAAAGGAGGCTGAATTGGGATGCTGCACACACAGTCCATGGCTGCGCTCCTTCTACCCAGTGACCAAGGGTTACAAGAGGTCTGCTGGAAATAGATGGGTCTTGGACCTGAGGCTGGGAGGCACATACTTGGAGCCTGTGTGAGAAGACAGCCTTCCCGGAGTCCCACCTCTGCCTAACATTCCGAGTCCTTAATCTGTTCCAGGAAAGGAACTGGGGACCGGCAAGCAAAGGTGTGTTTGGGCTTAACAAGTCAGCCTTGTATGAGTGGCAACTTTCTGAGCTGAGGGAGGCCTTGTTAGCCAGCACTGCATGGCTGTCCGTTCAGATGTCACAGCCTGGACAGCTGCCATGTCAAGATGCCTCCTTAGCCTTAAGCCTTATTGAGCACTGCAGTTAAATAGCTAGGCTTCTGGATAGAGGCAGCTGTCTCTCTGGTGAGTTCCATAAGGCCATCCTGTGTGCACGTGGATGGAGCCAGCCTAGGGCCCGGGGTAACCCTTCAGAGGGTGTGGTGTGACAGTTGTGGTTGCCAGATGAGTGCTGGGTTCTGGTTCTTGGTGTAATTATCTCATCCCTCCGAGTAGTCCATGAACACATGATCTAGTCTCTAGCTGTGTAGGTTGTGAAGTTGGTATAAGAGGAATCCTTTGCACTTTTAGGTTCCCCTAGTCAATTCATGTGTGCTTTAAAATATTACTCTTACTTTTTCATTATTTTTATTTGCATCAGTGCTTTGCCTGAATGTTGTCTGTGCGAGGTTGTCAGATCTTAGAGCTACAGACAGGTGTGGGTGCTGGGAATTTAACCTGGTTCTCTGGAAGAACAGTCAGTGTGTTCTTAGCCGCTGAACCATCTCCAGCCCTGAAGTATGATGCTTATGTGTGTTTCTGTGAGTGAATGTCCTGTGAGTGCAAATGCTCTTGACTTTTTTGAGGATGTTTGATCCTTTGGAGCTGGAACTTAGAGACAGTTGTGAGCTGCCTGACGTGGGTCTTCCTTTGGAATTATAGAGCCATTTTTCCAGCTCATTCCATAGGATTGATCCTTCAACAATGTGATTTTTCTTAATCCCTTTCAACCCTTTCCCCTTAGGTCTCGCTGGATGCAGTACATACTTTCCACGGAATCACAAGTTGATCCATCTTGTGAGAGCTACTGAACAAGCCGTGACTGTGCTGGGCAGAGACTTGAGCAGAGAAGGAACACTACATTCTCTAAAGTTCTGTCAACTTTTGTACCAAATAGCAATAAAAACTAGTGGGAGCAGTTGGGCTGTACACAAATGGGGATGCAAATCTATTTTGTCCCTAAATATTTTTTTACAGAATTGACCAAATAAGTTTTTGCATACTTGAGCGCTGCTGAAATGAAATCATTTGGGGGTGGGGTGGGGTGGGAACTGTTGGAAAGCTCGCACCTCAGGTAACTGTAGATACCTATGTTGTAAACCTGCTTTAAGAACTGTGTTTCCTTCCTCGTGGAGCTCAGTGATGTGAGCAGTTTCTGCTTCTTTCTGCTTTTTCATTTAAACGTGTTCTAAAGCAAATCTGCTTGCCCTGTATGATGCTGAGTCCTCCACAATCTATTATTTGTCTTAACAAACTTGCTGATGGAAGTATTGACAGTCTGGAGATGCGCTGTGCGTCTGAGGTCAGCGGGACTGAGCCTTGCACCTTTAGTCAGCTGCTGTCAGCTATTCAGCGAGGAAGATACCGTTGTCTTTGTGTGTACAGGTTCTGGAACCCCAGCTCCTGCCTGGGGGTGGCCTGTGGTGCTTCTGAGCGAATGTGCCTACAGAGAAACGACTGCTCTGTAGAGTGGCCGACATTGAGTGGACGAGCCAAGCTCCGTGGGGAGCTACCTCGGTTCTTCATTTCTGCTGTAAGATTCAGTTTCTTGGAGAGTTGTCTTGAGTTAAGTCTAAATAAATATGCCAAATTTCCTTGTGTGAATTGCATGCTGGGAAGCAATTTTAAAGGGAGTAAGAAGTTTGGGGAAATTTTTTAGTTTGTGTCTGGAGTCTTGGTGTGTCTGTGAAGTGGGAACGAACACCTGGAGTCTGGGTGAGAGCTGTTGGCTGAGCCTCCTGGGAGGCAGGGTGAGGAAAGCTGCCGTAGTAACCCTTGTCTCCATGTTTTTTTGTTTTACAGTCAGGGTGATTTCCTCAGTGCACAGGCAGTTTGGGATTGAGGGGCAACAGCCACCAGCTGGCTCACTCGGCATTTTAAACTTGAGTTCCTTTGATGCCTTGAGTTTAGTCAACAATTCTTGGGTTTAGCAAACCCAAAATATTTTATTAAGAAACTGTTTGAAAAGTAAATTTGCACTGCTTGTTTTTCTTGCCCCACCCCTCTTGTTAGGACAGAAGGGCAAAGAGCGCCAAGAACCCAACATCTCCCCACTTTGACAGTGGAACATGGGTGTCCTGTGCTGGGGATACCCCCGGTTGAGATGTGTCTGCTCTGGCAGAGAGTGCTTTTTGTACCAGGAACATGTACACTAGGCCCTGTTCCCGTCCACAAGCTGAGCCATATGTACATAATCTAGACTGTTTCCTTAGGTTCTGCACTTTGATAGCCTATTTTTGAGGATGAACACATTTGCAAGATGATTGACTCAATCTTTGCCTAAATCCAGCGAGTGTGCAAGAAGCTCGCAGAGATGGTAAATGTGAATCTTGGTAGGGGGGGCAAAATTAAGCCTGCATTAAAAAAAAAAAAATCACCAAATCTATTAGAAAGCACGTCACTGTGTTTAAGGCTGAAATTCTGGGGGCTTTCAGATTTTTCTAGTTACATTTTCTGAATGCATAAAAATTGCAGGTTTTTGTTTGTGTTTGAACAGCCCTTTGTACTTCACAGTCTGTTCTTGCCATCAGTATTAACTCTTGATACTACTGGCTTCCTGTGTCTTTCCTGTGAGACAACAGTACATGTGATAGAGGTACAATTCGTTGGATTTTTGTTAATGTATTTATTTCATTCCGGTTTGATTTAATTGTTGATACTTAAGTTGTCAGACCGTAGACATGCTTTATTTATGATATATTTCAGCTTAAAGTTATGTATGTTGTTATATGTGGATGTAAATATAGATTTGGTGTTTTACAGTTCTGGTGTTCTGGTTTTTATTGTGTTCTTGGTTCTTGCTGAGTGTGTGTAAACTTCTAAGAGTTATCTTTTCCTCCCCCGTGAGCCCTGAAAGGAGAAACTGACCTGAACTCATCACTAGGCTTAGCCTTGCTGGTCTCAGGCTCTGGTTCCTGTTTTAAATTTAACTTTGCCTTGTTTTGCTGGAGTTCGAGGCCAGCCTGGTCTACAGAGGGAGTTGGAGGACAAGCTCCATAGCTACTGGGGAACCCTGTCTTGAAAAATATACTTGCTTGTTTTATTGACTTAAAAAATCAACTTTTGTGTGTGCCCATGGACCTCAGAAGAGGGTGCTGCTTCCCCTGGAACTGGAGTTAGGAGTGGTCATGAAGCCACCACTTAGGTGCCAAGTACTAAACCCTGTCCTGCCAGAGCAGCCCGCACTCTAACTCCTGGACCAACTCTCCATTTTTTTTTTTTCTTTTGGTTTTTAGAGACAGAGTTTCTTTGTCGCTTTGGAGCCTGTCCTGGAACTGCTAGCTCTAGGTCGGGTGCTGAGTACCCGGTGCCTTTTATACAAGGAAGATAGTCTTCAGGACCTGGGTGCCTTTTATACAAGGAAGATAGTCTTCAGGACCTGGGGACCTGCTATGTCGGGCTACGAGTGCCTGCCTGAGTGCCTTTTACACCCAAGTTGTAGCTTTCTTTGTATTATTATTATTGCTTTTATTTTCTGTGGGGATGAGGGTTTGGCAGCCTTTAGTCTTTCAGCCCCTTTCTTGGATTTTGAGGCAGGCTCTGTCCACTGTATATAGTCCAGGCCCATCAGACTGAGCATGTGCCCAAGTCCGGCTTTAAACTCGCTCTCTTTCCATTGCTTCCCACGTCCTGGGATTACCTGCCCAGCTTTGAGTGGGTTGTTGGGAAGCAAACCTCAGCCATAATTTAATCTCTGAACTATGTGAATGTGCATCTCTAGCAGATAAAGACTTACATGTTTACTGTGTGTGTGTACCGTGTGTGTGCTGCTCAAGGCAGTCAAGAGGGCATGGGACACCCCAGAACCGGAGTGAAGCATGGTGAGCTACCATGTGAGTGCTAGGAGTCGAACCTGAGTCCTGCTGGGCCAGCCCTCCAGCCCCTGCAACACCAGCTGTTTCTCACTGCCAGCCTCTGCTAGTCCATGAATTTTGTGGCTTTTCAAAAATATCTTGTGACATTGAGCCAAAGGAGCCTGGAGTTACATTATGTAAGTCAGCATCTCCCCTGTGTGGTGCGATGCCAGTTAGGGTGAGGTTTGGTTCTATCAGCTCGGGGTTTATTACTCTTGTCTCTGACCAGTTAAACCTTAAAGTGAGTTTAGGTTTAGTTTTTCTGGAGTAAGGGTGAATCCCTTGTGCTGTTTCTAGCCCACAGGGATACCAGGCCAAATGGTGAATTAGGGCGAGTAGAATGACATCATTATAACCACCCCACCTTTCCGCTTAAGTTCTCAGTGGCCATCATCAAAGCTGTGAGTATGGAAAGGGTCTTTTATGAAAGTTTCATGGGGCTGGTGAGATGGGTCATGGACAAAGGCACTTCCTGTTTCATGGGGCTGGTGAGATGGGTCATGGACAAAGGCACTTCCTGTTTCATGGGGCTGGTGAGATGGGTCATGGACAAAGGCACTTCCTGCCAAGCTTGACCCCATATGGCGGGAGGAGAACCAAGGCCTGCAAGTTGGTCTCTAGCTTCAACAAACACATACTTTGGGACCAGTAAGATTGTTGAGTGGTAAAAGCATTTGCCCTCTAAACGATTACCCGAGTTCAGTCCCTGAAACACGTGTACTCACACAGTCATGTAAAATAACTACAATTGATAAATAAAAATATAATAGAGTATTTAAAGTCCATCGTTGATTGTCTATTGAAACTATAAAGGGGGCCATTTGAGTGGGTCTGGGAACTCGGGCTTGTAATCCCAGCGCCGGGGAGGCTGAAGTGGGATCGGGTTACTCAAGGAAAGCTTACGTAACAAGCAGGACCCCCAAACTTGCTTCGTGACTCAAATATAGACTAAATCAAAGACTAAATTCCTGGCTGCAGCCTCCAGACTTAGCAGCCCCTTAGCCTTCTGGGTCACTAAGGGTGTGTGTGTGTGTGTGTGTGAGAGAGAGAGAGAGAAGCGGCTGGCCATGCTGAAGCCTAGTGTCTCCTGGTGGCCCAGGGTTTGTTGAGAGTGTTTGGCATCAGTCTTACTGTGATCAGAACTTCTGATTTCATCTTGGGTTCTTTGTATTATTATAAAGTTAAAAAACATTAAAAGTATTTGTGTGTCTCTCTGTGGACACTCACAGGGTTCAGAAAAGGACCTCAGATGGCTGGAGTGATAGGAGGTTGTCATCTGCCCCCTGTGGGTGCAAGTGCTCACGATGGCCGAGCCATGCAGTCGGCGTTATGTTTATGTGAACACACTACCCATGGGGGCCAAGAGCCACAGCTGGGATCTGCCCGAGGTGGCTGCCGGCAACTGGACCTCGGGTCCTCTAAAAGAAGTTAGTACTCATAACCACTGAGCCGGTTTTCGAGCCCTCACATTCTTACAGGTATGTATGTACGTGCCTGCAGGTGCCACAGGCCAGAGCGGCTCGAGCTCCTGGTGCCTGGGCTCCTGGGGAACATGAGAGTACACTTTTCTTTCTTTTGTTAAGGGTGTGGATCATAGACCTCAGTGAGCCGTGCTGCTCGTGCCCATTCATATTCTAGACCTGACTTTCCGTACTGATCTGAGCACCCAGGTTCTGGGTGACACTAACACCATGGCCTATTACTTCAGTTTACCGCACACAATCAGTGCTGCTGTTACTCACGGGATCGCTTATGGAGCCCTTTATATTTCTTTTGAAGCTGTTCATCTAAAGCAGCCCCAGAATAGCAAAGTCGTTAGAAATGCAGATTGTCAGGCTTCACCAGACCTGTTGGGTCAGGCACCGTGGGTGGGTGGGTGGGGCGGCGTCCAGATCCTTTCCTGAAGGGACTGTGGGATCCCTCCTGAGGACGAGGACAGCTGTGGACCAGTGAGCTGGGGAGGATAGGAATCCCTCTCCAGACAGCTCTTTTAGCTGGACACGAGGTATAACTGCTCTACTCACATGTCCCGAGGGCTGGGGTTACAGGTGTGTGCCAGCACGTTAGATTTTTCTTGATTTTTGAGAGGTGCTTTCTTGAAATACTAATTGAAATACTAATTGAATGCTGGAGTAAACTCCTGGGTGGCTCCCCTAGGATCCAGAGACCGAGAGATAGGACCATTTCCCCCAAAGCTGTCGAGCGTCACCACCAGGTGACTCCTGTATAAACAGTGAAGACCATTCCTTCTTCTCAGCTTTACTGTTCAACTTTACTACCTGGGGCAAGTTCTCAAAGATGTGTGTGTTTGAGCCAATGGGAGGGTTAGTTTAACGTTCGTGATCCAGGGAGGTACTCTCCACTCCTTACATTACGTGGTTACGGCATTGGAATAAAAGTGCCCTTAACTCAGTGTGGTCACGGCATTGGTGCAAGAGGGTGCAGGTGCTTTTTGGTATTTTTCTCAGGGACACCAGAGACCCAATTTAAAGAGAATGAATCATGCTGAGGATTGTTAGGGTGCTCATCTGGTATGGGGAGATCCCGCGTGTATCCCTCCCTAGCACCGCAGAAACTAGCATGGTGGTGCATACCTACGATCTCCATGTGTTTGCCTCGTCCATCACGGCCCCAGCAACGGATCCAACTCAGGCAGTGAGGCAGTGAAGAAGAGAGCCGCCAAATGGACACAGAAAAGAAGTTGGCGATTGGGTTTGCTGGGCTGGGCTAGAGAAACACCGCAAACAGCTGGAGAAGGAGGCGGGGCTTATGCTGTGCAGCTGCTTCTAGGAGACTGAGGGATAGGCCATGCTGGCCTTGAACTCACGTGGCCATAAACATGGGGGGGGAGGGGAGGAGGGGTTACAGTGGACTTTTCCAACACAGGTCAGCATTTCCCTCAGACCCGAGGAAGGCTTTGCCATCCCTCTGATGGTGTCCTTGACACCTGGTGCCCCTGCCACCAGCACACACTCAGGGCTCTCTCTGCTTTGGACACGTGTTGGAAGCAGAGCAGGGAGGATTAGAAGTTGCAGATGGTATTGCTACTGCTGTCTTCTCTACTTGGGGTCTGAATTGGGATGTCTCTGCCTTCTGGTGCGCAAAGTGGATATGGGGTGAGTGGGTTTCAGATTAAAGTAAGGTGTTCTGGGGGTGGGGGTGGTGGCTCAGGTCTGTAATCCCAGTATGTGGGAGGTGGAGGCAGGGGAATTGGGAGTTTAAGCCTGGTTTGTCTCAAAAACAAACCAGTCGCCCATCACCACCAACCCCAGTATGTCACCCTGAAGAGGAAAGTGAGAGCATTCCAGAATGAGACTGGTCCTGATGTGAGAGGAGTGCAAGTTGAGCCTGTCTCTTTCTCCTCCACCATGCCTTCCGGGATCCCTGTCACATTCGTACCTGTCACCATCTTTAAAAGATGATTCCAGGGTTTCGTTCCCGGTCGCTCACAGCCACTCACAACTGATGCCTTTTCACCTCCGAGGGCCCCTGGACTCGAGTGGGTCACATGAGCTTCAGGCTCACACACACGTGTGTAAGCAATGAATCTTAAGACATGACCTTGCATTACCCCTGGCCTCATGGCACCATCACTGACCACACTAGTCACATCTGGAATTAACAAGCTTTCATGCACTAAACCTTTTCATTTCTTTTTAAAAGATTTATTTATTCTGGAATCACAGAAATGGCTCAGTGGTTAACAGCACTTTGTTGCTCTTCCTGAGGGTCAGTTCCAGCACCCACATGGTGGCTCATAATCATCTGTAACTGGTTCCAGGGGATCCAACTCCTCCTTTCTGACTTCTGAGGGCACTGGATATGCATGTATGTGCAGGCAAAATGCCTGAGCACATAAAGAATAAATCTAAGAAAAAAGATGTATGTGCATGTGTGTTTTGTTCATA